AGAGAGAGAATGAGGGAGAGAGAGAGAGAGAGAGAGAGAGATACGCACGCAAACACACACACACACACACACATACACACACACCAACACACGCACATAAGAGGCTTTATATAGCGAAACACGAAGTCGAGAGACAAAGATACATGTATAGCAAACTGACTGTCATGTTCTTTTCTTGTACAGGTATATTTTTCGTTTCTAAAACACCCACATAGCAAAATCCGAACTTAACAAAAAGATTTCCGTCGATTTAGAGAGAAACGGTAGCCTACATGTAGATCTAGATCTAGGAACAATAAATGTACAAATGTACACAATCAAAAGAAACTTCAGAAAGAATAAAAAATTGACTTTGACTAGATCTATCTCGATGGTGGCTTCAGTACAGAAGAAATTTGACCTTGTTCTCTTGTACTTGTAAGTGTAAGTTGTTACAATTTTGCCTCTTCATTTTCGATTTCATAAAAACTAAAATAATTCGTTCAAACGAATGGGACATCTTAATTCATTGCGTGAATTTGATACATGTATGTTTTTACCTTTTTTTGTGTGTGTCTAGTCTATCGTATAAAGACACAGAACATTTAGATATCTAGATCTAGATCTAACGTTAGAGTTAAAGTGGAAAGTATCCTCAGCAGCGCAATTGAATTCATTCTAGTTCTAGGTCAAGGGCGATGAATCAGTATACAATAGTGTCATTCTCATTTTCAGAGTGATGTCCCTTAGTAAGCAACTTCCGACCAAACTTAACCTTGATCTATTTTGGAAATGTATTATTTTTTAACTACCCTTTTTCATTTTTTTTATAAGCATGTAATTTCTAATATGTAATAGAAATTTATACATTAAAAAGGGAATGTAAACACTTAACATAGATTAAAGATACGGAGTGAGCAAAGTAAAGTATTGTATATATTGTTAGGTACCTCTCGCCGAGTAAGGTGGCCGGTTAGCTCAGTTGGTTAGAGCGTCGTGCTAATAACGCGAATGTCATGGGTTCGAGCCCCATATTGGCCAGCGGTAATTTTTTGTTGCTGTATGTTTTTTTCTTCTGTTTTATCTATATTCCTTTTTTAGTTCTTAATCAAATATGTATGTTATCATTTTCAGCGGTCGTGTCCTCGATAGTAACGACCAAAAACGTGTTTCGGCTCTTTAAAAAAATTTCTGAAAGAAAACGACAAAGATCTATTATTATTATTCTTTTTTCTTTCAAACTTACTCTTACAAACAAGATACTTTCTGTAATATTTATTCCCTTATTTTTAACATGAACTTCGTCAGTAGGAGACTCTTGGTATTGCATCTTCTCGCCAAGGCTCTGGGGCTTGACTAAACGCAACTCATTAGAATTAGGACATACGTTATTAAATTGCAGTGCTATTTTGTAGTTAGTCTCGGTTCTAGATTACTGTAAAACCTCCTAATTGCCCCTAGCGCTTATCGCCTGTCTATCAATCACTGTTCGCCAGTCTATTACAGGCCTAATTATTGTTATTTAAAATGCCAGGTATATTGTTAAATTATCGATGTGGTAGCTTGGGCATATATATATACTCCTTATTCCTATATTATATTATATGCAATCAACTCACTTAATCTATACACGACAAATGAAGTGTGTTCATTATCCGATAATCTGTTTCATTGGGGGGGGGGGGAGGATCAGGGCGAAAGAAAGAAGAAAGAAAGATGAAAGAACGAAAGAAAGAAAGAAAGAAAGAAAGAAAGAAAGAAAGAAAGAAAGAAAGAAAGGAAGAAAAAACTAAAGAACTTCACGAGGAGATAACAGGCGTATAAGGGATTAGCCTGTGCTTTACGAGTGTCGCTGTTCCACCAACAGGAAGTGAAGGAATTGCCTTTTCTTTTCTCACAGCTGTCTGAGTTATCTAAGTGGTATAGGGGCCTACTCCTTATTCTTAAGGAATCGACTTACTTACAATCTGCCTTATAGTCATAGGGGGACGAATAAAAGGAGTGCGAAAGAAAGAAAGAAAGAAAGAAAGAAAGAAAGAAAGAAAGAAAGAAAGGAAGTAAAAACGAAAGAACTTCACGAGGAGGTAACAGGTATAAGGATTAGATCTAGCCTGTGCTTTACGATTACGAGTGTAGTTGATCCACTAACAGGAAGCGAAGAAATTGCCTTTCTTTTCTCACAGCAGTCTCTCTGGTGTTATCCACAAACCGGCTACATGCAGGAAGGAACATTTTACAGGAGACACAGTTTTAGTTTTAGTAAGAGTTTTACGACACTTGCAACACAATAAGGTCATATATAAGTGCCAAAGATTAGAGATGTTAGAAGAGAGTAACAAGCATAAAAAGGAAGGAGGAGAGATAAAGACGATAGTTGTTTGGTAGGAAAGAAGGAGCAAACCACACCAGGGCACCCGCCAACCACCCACCCAGGAGAGACATAAAAAAACATTATTCTAAAAACGTGCAGCGTAACCTTACATAATTAAAATATAGGGGGGATTGGTGTATAGTACTCCTTGTTTTATACCTAAGGTTAAGTGGTGAGTGTAGTGTGTAGGGACCAAATACTATTTCAGGTCATCAATCTTCTGACTAGAACTGTTGATAAGACGACCTCTATGCGTTTACAAAAATATCAAACAAAACTCCAAACTAACGTTGCTAAGAAAGCCAGGACAAGATTTAAAAAATAAATAAATATAGAAACAAACAACCCGAGAAATCTCCGGTTTTGTTTGATATCCTCTGAGGGCAGGGCCTTGGTTTGGCATATGTTGGCCTCAGGGTTCTAATCTGGATTGGGGTTCGATTCTCGGCTTAATTATTGAAAAATTTAAAATTTGGTCACTTTGCATCTTATTGTCTGGCGCCCGATTGAAAGAGTGTGCCTTCGGGAAAAAGACATGAACGAAGGGAAGAGTTGTGCCCCTTTGAGCACAGATTTCTCGCAGGTTTAGTCTGCTGTATTGACATAACACATGCTTCAGTAAAGGAGTAGATAAATAATAATAATAATACTAATAGATAGCCTTTGTATAGTATAGAGCAATTCCCCGCTCAACAGCCAGCTCTATGCGCCTCACAATCTATACTATTACCCCAGCAGACCTGAGACTGAGAGCATTCTGAAACGACCTCAACTTCCTGGGAAGCATACAGTGCAAGCAGCCATTTATAGGCACTAAAACACTAACATACTGACAAGATCTTTTGCTGTCTATGGGCCGGGTATCCATTCCGACCTGGGTGAAGTGAGGAAAATTCGTGTAAAGTGCTTTTCCCAAGGACACAACGTCGGTCCCGCGGCTTCAACCCCCGAACCTGCAAACCTCAGGATTATGATTCCGGTAGCCTAACCACTAGGCCACCGACGCCAAATGTCTGTCCGCGCGGTTTTAGGCACCTCGCATAATTTAGCAAAATTTGATCATTTTTTGCATAATTTCTGATTTTTTTCCCTTCATCATTCTTTGTTAAAATTAACAGAATCGTATAATTTCACATTTTTGGGCTCAGTTTGCATAATTTCAGAATTTTTTTTGCATAAAACAACCGGGACAGAAATGTATCAGTTAGCAGTCAACAAGAACTATGCTCAATTTCAGTCCTACTCCACACTTTCAAGTCGTTCAGTCCTGGAACTTACTGGAAGTGTGTGGACATAATAAAACATTATTACCTAACTCTTAGTTTTAGTAAGTGTTTTACAGCACTTGCAACACAATAAGGTCATAAAAGTGCCGAAGATTAGAGGTGTTACAAGAGAGTAACAAACACAAAAAAGAAGGAGGGGAGAGGAGATAAAGATGACAGATGTTTGATAGGAAAGAAGAAGCAAACCACACCAGAGCACCTGCCAACCACCTACTTACGTAACTCTAGACAAGACACCAATAGCATCCAGAAACACAAACCAACAAGTAATGTCATTGTAGTTTTCTGTCTTTATTTTCATTCACAAAACAAGGACAGAAAAAAGAGACGGTTTACAGCTGGATGATGACGCGATAAAAGCACCCACAGCTTTCTTCAGAGTGTCAAAAAGTTCAGGAAACGTGATAATAAAATATATTCTACCACCACAGACATTGGCTACTCTCTTCACTCAAGGCAGATTACATATCACACACTTTCACATAATATTGTCATAATAGAAAAGCTTACACTGACATGAAAAGAGAAAAATCTTCAAATTCTTAAATTCTTATATATGCCAGACCCCTTACCCAAACTACTTTGTACTGGGAACAACGGACATTTGTAGCGGTCTAGTGGGAGAGAGTAAAAGATGAAAAAAAAAGTTAAAAAAAAGAAAGCATTGTAATGTCAGATGAGTGGATAAAGCACGAAAATTGCGAAAATCATCACATTTGACTTCCCTCTAATTCTGCATACATCTTTATATATGTACAGATTTTAAGAACTTTCCATCTTGACTTGATCTCTACATTACACAAACTTAAATGGCAGAGACTCTCAGCTCACTGTCTGCATTCGGGAAGAGGAGGCGGCCTGGAGAAACAAACAGAAAGAAAAAAACATCTTAAAAACATTAGCATGTCACTGACAAAAAATATAGGTAACTACTTCCTATTTGTCCGGACACTGAGTATATAACTGCACCTCGAGAGCAGAGCTGCGAGATGTACAATGTTGATCTGGCAGTGAGATAGGACTGGCAATCTTTAAAAAAAAAAGTTAAAACAACAATCGGATGACTCTCAATATAATAAAATATTTTTCTTCAAATCTGGTTCTATTTTTTTTACCTTTTTTTATTCGTCACCCTGATTCTGATTCTTCTGTTGAGGAGGATTAGCTGTCACCTGAATTAACCACCCCTATATAAATATAAATACATGTATACAACTGTTACTTCACAAAAGAGCAGTTATCTCAACCTAAATTTGTAACAAGAGCAGACTACAGCTACAACTGGGAATTTCTGTCTGCACACTCCCATTCATGTCCACTGAGGAAAGTTTTGCTTTCTCAAACTTCTGCCAGGCGAGGTGAGCCTTTTCAGTCACAAACAAGAACAGCTGTTATATGCTCACCTGCTTCCAGGAAATAAAATTTTAAAGCCCGTTGTACACTGAAAGCAAAATTGCAACAACACACAAACAGGGCAAGTATCTTCCACAATCTCCCCCCCCCCACCCCCTCTCCCTTCGACATCAACATCAAACACAAAAAGTGAAAAAAAGAGTCATATACTGATCCGAAGTGCTTTTTTTAAATAGATCAATTCACATTTTCACAGCTCCTTTTTGTTTACCTTTCACTCATCAAAATCTCTTTTTGCAACTTTGAATAACTGAACATACTACTTCTAATATACAGAGAAAAATAATAAATAACAAAATCAAAGGAGTCAACTCTCCAGAAGCAAAATTCATTCTCATGAACCAGTTTGAAAAACCAATAAACCTTTTTTTTAAAAAATGAACGTGTAAACCCAACAGTCAAAGGAACATTTTTCTAAAAACCAGCTGTTATTATATATTTTCTATGAATTGTGGAAAAAATCAACAGATAACTTGAACTCTTCAGCATGCGTCTGCTTGTGAAACCATTTAACAAAAACACTTTTGTTTCAACCTGCTGGTATATTTCAGAGGAAAGCGCTCATGATGGTCTGAATAGTCCAACTCTGCATCCACCAAATGTCTGGTGACGGCCTTGTAAAACGGTAACAGAATTGCTATATTACTACAGAAACAAAAGAACATTCATCAGGACTTCCTAGTTCTAAAGTATAGGACAGGTATTGAGTATTGTTAAGGGGTAAACAATATTTTTGTTTTACTCCATCTCAACACAGAAAACATTTTTAATAACTTTGCTGCCCTAAAATTTGATATCAATTACACGGCTGCCCACCTACCAGCAAATGTTTTAGTAATCAAAAGATAGAAAATTAGTAAACTGGTTTAAAAACTCATAATACAATGGTCATGGAAAATCATCTTCAATGGGGTGCTAACGACAGTGGTTGTAGTCCAGTTATGAAACATAAACAAAGGTGTGATGATACAAAAGGACAGGAATTTTCTAACACTTCGTCAATCTAATGTTTGCCTTATTCCTGGCTTTGTCACTTCCAAAGTCTAAAGTTTTTCTAAGGGCAAAGTGGCACTGTGCGACTACAAGGGCTCAATGCAAAGAGGGTGTTGGTGTTAATACTGTTTAAGTTAGACAGCTGCATATGACGTAGTGACGTAGACTGTCCGGGTCTGGGTAGTTTTTGTAATTTTCTTCCCCTATACACCAGGAAGGTTGGCAGTGGGTTGGGGTAGCCAAATTTTTTTAAACAACCGGAATCAAAGGTATTATGATCATATTTTCGTTAAACTGAATAAAAATTGTAACAATTCCATCAAGTTTGTTATGTTAGCTTAAAAAATTAACTTCTAATAATTTTGTGTGCCGCAACAGCAAAGGAATAGGATAAAAAAAAAGAAAGACAAGTATTTCTTCAGAAAAAAAAAAAAAAAGGACTGACCAACTATCCAGCCATTTTCCAGATAATTTTAATGAAAAAATACATGAAAAAAAACCCAACCCAATCAAACCACACTTAAGACTCACCATTCTCGCCCGATCTACACAAGTGGAGAAAGCATTGACTATGGCCGAGCAGTTGAGGACCTCGTTAGCGTTGTCCTGGTAACACTGCAACACTTTAGTCTGAAGGTCCTGGCACACCGGGGACGCTGTGTAGTTCCTGTGTAAAATTAAAATACAGTGGAACCCGAAACACATCAAAGACAACAATCTTGTAGTACAATCATTTACAAAACTGATTAATGAAGAACGATATGTACACCAGACAAGTATTTTTGCGAGTATAAAAGTTAACCCTGCCCCATAAATAAAGACCAAAAATTTGTGGAAAAACCCAAAGCTTCAAAAACAAAAATGGCATTAATAACAACAGGCCTCCTTGTCATAATAATGGATAGCGTTTATGTAATGCATTTATGATTTCCACAGTGCAGATGTCTGTGCACCCTACAGCAAATATTACAGGAACTCATGAACATACACACTTACTCATCAATAGCAAAATAAGTATTTTAAAAAATAAAGTCTATCTCTCTCTATCACAAATGAAAGAAAAAAGTCTCTCGATGAGTAAACAGAGACATCAACAAATTACTCACACAAACTTCTCTTCCACCTCCTTCACTGCCTTTGCAAATTGGTCATTTGTCTGTTTTTGAAGAGCAGCATTCTGGAATTTAAAAATGTACACAAGCTTTACTGGATGGTGACCAATACCTGAAAAATTCAAACAGTCTCTCTTTTACATACAAAGCTGAGCATTTGGAAACACAGCAATGCACAGACACCCATTTTTCTAAATAAAAGACAGTTATCTTAAAAGCGTTATAATTCACTGGGTAATTTTTATTAAAATTTTAGACTATTTTTTTTTTCATTCCGTCAAACACTTTCTATTCAGACATTAATTATTTTTCGGGAGCTCAAATCGGTATTGTATTTGGAGTGCATCTAATAAAAGAAGTTTGTGGTTAGATGAGATGATGGGCACATCCATTAAAAAAAATCAAAGTAAGGAAAAAGAGAAGACACCAAGACTGTGATTGTTGACTTCTTTCATTATAGGTCTGAATTTAGTGTTATGACTATATGATTTTTTTCATCGGTTGCAGAGATTTAAAGCATTTGATGTCAACATAAAACAATTCTTCATAAAAGAAATATTAATTCATCAATGAATGAAAAAATATGTCACACAGCAATAAGATTCAAAGCTTTGTTTTCTCTGCTTTAAGTGTTAATCAAGATAAATATTAATTATGTTAAATTCAGATGTGCAAATTCCAGAAACAAAATTTCCACAACATACCCTTTCTTGAAGTTCTTTCAGTTTTTGTACATAAAAATCTTCCACTTCTTGATTGATTTCCTGTGAGTAGAGTCTTTGGTCAGGTCTTGATGTAGGACTTGGCTGCTCATAGAAACAACACAGACAGAACAATTACATGATATGAGTTGTTCATAAGTATTTGATGAGGGAAGAAACAATGAGTCACAGTAAAGAGAAGCACATCAACACAAGAACAGTTTTTAGCAGAGAGGGGAAAAGAGAGATAGATGGACAGAAACGGAAAGAGAGATAGAAAAGAAATAGGACAAATCTGTTGTGTCCCCAGAATACTTTGCATAGGTTTGATTCAAGAAGAAGATACACTTATTTATAAAAATCTGTCAGCTCAAAATAACATGCAAAACAACCATGAACAATAGCAGGTGACATGACATGCAAAGACGTGAAATGTTTTAGTCTCTGAGTCTCTCGACAAAAAAGAGTTCAATTCAATAAAAACTTAAATCCCCTTCTTTTATTTCGCACGTGAACGTGGAACAAAGAAGGACTAGCTCATATATTAACTTTAAAAATCTTTTTTATTTTTCCATTTATTATAAAAAGGAATCATCTTATAATATTACAATTCACAAAAAGTAGCAGGGTAAAACCATACTACTGACTGAGTTCTAAGACGGGCAACTGCTTCAAAAGCTAAACAATATATGCAGAAATTAAGAAATACTATTTTACTACTCAAAGATAAAAATGACACAGACTAAAAAAACGGCATACACTTACAATTGGAGGAGGAACGTCTGAACCTGTAGAAATAGGACACAAGAAAATTAATGGTCGGCATGTGCAATGACAGTACAGTGTATCACTGTCACACAGTATTTGTGGCACTAAATGATTAATGTGAATAATTTCTTTAAAGTAACATTTTGTAATTTCAGGAAAACTACCACAATTTTTTTTTAATGGAAAAAACAGCCCTTGCACCTAAATCTAGATCTAATCTATATCTAAGTTTACCTTTAACACCTGACCCAAATGGGAAAAAAAAATGTCTCAATAATTGGATCATAAAACTGCAACAAATCCCTGTTATGTTGAGGATAAATTGGGATAAAATAAAACAAGTTATCATTTTACCACAAACAAATTTTTTTATATTGACTTCAATTCTGTTTTGACCATGACCAGTGGACAGCATACTATAAAGATGACATAATCATGTGGGTAATGTCACAGAACAATAATCAATGACTTTCTCCAGCTTGATAATTATAAAAAATTATCATTAGAAAGATTTGAATCTAGAATCTAGTGTGCCCTGACATAGAAACAATTCATCACATTATCATTTATCTAGACTTTTAAAAGCTTTAACCTGAAAACATCCTCACTTTCATCCTTATTTTCCATTATGGTCAGATGATGACAAATTCTGACCTGATGTTTTTGCTGAAGTGGAAGTGCTTTGTGATATGTTGCCATGACAACTCAACCCAAACATTCAACAACGGTGCAATTTAGTGCCCCCAACAGAAAAACTCAGAGTACTTAGTAACAAAATTCAAAACAATGGGAATTTCCCAGTAACTAGCTTTTCTTTTGAAAAATGCTGCGCAGTTCACGGAGAGGTATATAAATCTTTGTAAGATTTGCCAGTACATACCTGCATTGTCTCTATCTGGGATTCCTTTTAGTCTCCTCACAACTGCTTCTGAGATCTACATAAATAAGATGAAAAGAAAGATCAGAAGTAGGCTATATAAATAATATATATTGAATTTAGGTACTCTCTAGACATCATATCTATTTCACCGAACTGTCAGGATACAAAAAACAGCTAACAAGACCCACCATTTTTTAGATTTTATTTTGATGAGTCAAACGGCTGCCACTCAGCAGATCAACGCTGTCAAATATCTATAATTGCATCTAGGACAGTCTAGGTCTAGTTATATATATATATATTATATAATGTATACATTATTGTAATACATGTTTGAGCTTGTCTTTGAACTTTGTGTTCCGTTCCCATAAAAAATGTAGAAATAAATATTATAACATAAATGAGCATGCATTAAACATCAAACAACAGCAAACTGTAAACGTAAGCCAATGGGCGTACAGTTATTTATAAATCAGTTATAGGCCTATTAAAGTGTGAGTTTCTGTGAAGTGCGCTTTAAAAAAAAATGTATATTTAGATCTAACACCGCATTCCATACGATAATATTTTATTTATTTGGGCAGGCTGAGTAAAGTTTATGCTGTCAGTGAGTGTCAGAACCTGCAAACGAGGGATTTGAGGGTCACCTTACAAGAGACTGTACAAGACATAGTCAGGTCTATCTTTTAAAAAAATCAAACAATAGAAGTCGAGTTACTAACGATGTTACACCTGCAGAGTGATAACAAGTGTAATGTCAGTCAGGACATCATATGATCATTAAACACCATTGTCGGGACCAAACAAAAATGTTGTAGAGAGTTGTCGTTTTAGAGAGAGGCAACCAAAAAGTACTATTATAAGGAAAAACGAAGTGACTATTTAGAACTCCGAACGTTCGGGAAAATAAACTTGAACTCTATTTCTCCGAACGGTTTCCGTTCTCGAGATTTTTTGGTAATATTTGCGAGATTTAGGCGTCATTTTTCATTCTGCCATTCTGCGAGGACTGGGAAGAAGCATTTTTTGCATCAAATTCAATTTCTAGATCTAGAGATTTTTAAAAGTCTGAATATAATTCAGACACAGTTACTTTGTCTTTGTCGTTGGGGCAACGTTCCCGGACTCTATACTTCATTTGAAAAAATACCTTCAAAAGGTACTGCAAGAAATCAAGACTGATCGACGTTGGCAGTAACAGAGGATGTCGCTATTCGATGGTTGTTATAGAGAGGCTGTACTGTTTATACAAGCCTACTACAGTTCAGTAGCAGATTGATACACACTACACACACAATAGTATATAGAGGTATAGGCCTACATAAAATAGTAGTGTAGGCGCCTGTGTTTACACAGAAAAGCTAACAGTACAGTTCGGAGCCAAGAGGCTAAAATAACGGACGAAATATATGCAAGCCGTTACAGGCAGGTTACCTTCACAACATCGTCACCGGCATCTTCAACGACGACCCTTCTGGTAGTGCTCCCTGACCCTCCCATTATTTAGACAGGGAGTAATAACACATTGACTTTGGAAACTTGAACTGAGAAAAGGCTGACCGGCCAAAGGGTCAAACGAGATCGAAAGTGCTGTTTTTACCTTCACGATAAAAGACGTTTACTTCTTTGGTCATACTACTATACGAGTCTATCAATAATCTAATAGATGCAATCATAGTTAACTTCTAATTAAAACAAAAATAGTCTTTCGGGCTGTTGAAAGAGTATAAATTAATCAAAATATAGTATTTATTAAAACATAAATCTTATTTACAACTACAATTAATTTATTCTTTAGACCAAAAAAAACCCCTCAACTGTTGGGTAAGTTGTTAATTACGCTTGGCGACAATTAGACACTTTTTCAAGGGAGATTATTGTGAGAAGCTCCAGCGATTCCGAATGAACACACACACACTGTACTGTTAGATCTAGATGATTGTTGACCACTTCGATCCACAAAATTCGGGCATGTGTTATTGTAATTTTTATTTTTATTGTTTCTGTGCTGTGTTTCGTAAAGTTGTGCTTCATTTTAGTACAATAATCACACAGGTGAACGAGACCACGGCCAGTACCGGCGAACGAAGCGGTGGGAGTGTTGGCCGGTGGGCTGCCCCAGTTTGTCACAATTTCATTTTTATTTTGAGTATTTTTTTAGTATTGGTGACAGTCATTATATTACAGCACTTTAACACTGTAGTTGTAAATTAGGGAGGACTTCCGTAACGAGCGACCACTATGAGACAGAGCAGAATTGAGGGCTAGGGGTAGGGGTAGATCTAGAGTCTAGACTCTAGAGACTAGGGGTAGGGTTAGATTAGGGTTAGGGAAGGCCTAGTGTTTGATGGGGTGGTCGCTCGTTACGGTTCCAAGTCCTTCCGTAAATTAAGTTTTGTTTTACTCTCCACCTTCAAATTAGTGTTAGATTCTAGATCTAGATCTAGTTTTATAAGTTCCTTTAAAATGTCAATTCTAGACTAGAAGTCTAGAGTCTAGACAAATGATCCAAATGGCATGCTTCCGTAGGCCGAACCCAGAGCCAGAGTAAAAATTATTTAAAATATGTGTATCTCTATCAATAGAAAACAATATATATCTAATGAAAAGGAATAATTCATCCTTCAGAAGTAAAAAAAAAAAGAAGAAATGCTGTTATGGGTCTAGCCTGCATGCCATGCATTATTGTCGTTCATTACCAGATGGAAAACTTGGCTATTCTCACCCGGGGTGAGAATAGAAATACGGTCTACCTCTCACCCCGGGTGAGACTTGCCAGCGTAGGCTATTCTCACCCGGTGTGAAACAAGACCTGTTTTTCATTTTGGAATACTGTCTATTTGGTGTGGATGATCAAATTGATAAAAGCCAAGAAAAAATTACGTAGGGCGTATAGCACAAAAGTAAGCTAATTTGATCGTCTTCAAAGAGATGCTATGGCTATTTCACTTTTCGAATCGAGCCGAACTACGCGGGTCGCCATTTTGTTTTGCCTGGAAGTTCTCGCAAGATCTACTCCTCCCCTCTCTCTCTCTCTCTGTCTCTTTCTGAATACTGTCTATCGGTGTGGACGATCAAATTGACCAAAACAAAGTTAAAAAATGATGTTAAACAAGAAAACTAAATTAATTTGGTTGTTTACAAAGATGCTACGGCTATTTAACTTTCCGAATCAAGCCGAACTACGCGGGTCGCCATTTTGTTTTGCCCGGAAGTTCTCGCGCTACTCCTCTCTCTCTCTCTTTCTCTCTCTCCACTGCCCACAGACAAAATTGAACGCTTTTAGGCTAACACTAACAGTAGTAATAGATCTAGAACGTTTGTTCACAGCTCAGAATTCTATTACTCTGTTTAAATTACAGTGTAGAATTCTGTGTTTCAGGGTGAACGCTTCACTGGTTGGCCAAGGCTATTATAACGGTGAACGCCCACCGGGTGAGAATAGCCAAAAGACTCGCCTGTGCTATTCTGACCCGGGGTGAGAATAGAGGTGGCCTAACCAGATAGTTGAACAGGCTCTACTTAGAGCCTCAAACAACTAAATCGTCAACGTCAACGTTAATAAGTTATCATTTAAAATTCATGCTGTGTTGGTAGGAGAGGAATTTAATTAATTGTTTTTTAATTAAAACTTGTGGTTTATTCTAATACCCATGGAATTTTTTGCGCTTTTTCGGTAGGCCTAGTTCCCACCCCCCTTATTTGGGCATAGATCTAGGTAGATGAGCTGCTAGCGAGACATCCAAACTAACAACTGCAAAACTTAAAATTATGGTAAAATTCAGCCCCCCCGATATTTTTATTACCCCCAGAAACCCCCCTACTCTTGGGGCCAAAAACGGCTAATATATATATTGGGGGGTGGGAACTACTAAAAAGGCGCCGAATTTTCAACCCTCTGAAAAAGCCAAAACTTAAAAAACTAAAAACTGTGTTTTGTATTGTTTTTCTTATTTCATTTCAGATTACTGTATTACTATTTCACAAGGTGGACTGTGCCTTTTTGAATGATGCAGTTCATGTGTTGTTGATTAAGGTGTCTCTTCTTTTTGCAAAGAACATACTATTATTATAGCCAAGCCATCATGTCATCATCAAGGCACTCAAAGACTTCAGCATACCAAGTCTACTCTTCTCAAAGTAGAAAATCTAGTAGCAGGCATAGCAGGTCTTTAGAATCAGAAGATTCTCGGGAAGGTAGCTCTAAGAAATCATCAAGTGACAGGAAAGAAAAAAGTAGAGACAAAAAACATCGCAGAGAAGCCTTGGTTGACTCTGATGACGAAGTACTGAAAATTAGTCAGCCCAAGAGTCTGCTGTCTTTGTCGCTCCCGTCGGGTCGAGAAGAACAACGTGCCACAAAGTCTCGGAGTAGTCGCCACCGAAGCTCTGGTTCTCGTGAGGATAAAAAACATGCTTCCCAGACGCAGTCTCTAATGGATATGGATTTTGGCAGAGACCAGAGAGGGGCTGGGCGCAAGAGAAATGTCTCAGATTCTTCCGATGATGATTCCGTCGATGAGTCCAAGTCTCATGGGGCAGAGTTGCAGAAATCGAAACTTTACTCCGATTCAGATGACGAGGATGGAGACAGTCACCATCGCTCTGAGAAAGTGGACAAAGACAAAAGATCCTGGAAGGAGTCAAGTGTACGTGAGAACCCGATTAAGTTGTCTCCACTTGTAGTGGAAATGCCCCGAAAGGATCTAAATGGAGGTGAAAAGGGTACATCTCCTGATGCTAACACAAAGCCACTGTCCTTGTTAGGTGAGTACGTACCACCTCCGCCGAAAAAGCCAGTCAGCCTTCTGGACCTTGCAGGTGGAGCTGATTCTTTCGACAGAGGGAGACAAAATTATTCTCGTCGATCAGATGGGAAATCTAGCCACCTGTCGCAGAATTCTGACTACCACCAGGGAGAGAGGAGAAGAGAAAGTAGCCAGAAGAAACGAAGAGATGGGAGTGGAGATGAGAGAGAAGTCCCCTCAAAGAAAATGAAGATGAAAACTACTGAGATGATGAAAGCTAGGGGTAATCCACCAGCATTGTCTAACAGGTACTGTGACTTAAACCTTGCTCAACTTCTTACATTGTTATATTATATTTATGTAAACTGTACAAATGTCTTTGCCTCTTTTTTTTTGTTCTTCCAAGTTCTTTTAGTTCATAAACATTCTGATTTTATTCCTCTTTGGAGACAACCTTGACTTCTTTTTCTGTTGTAATTTTCCTTTCAAGATGTCTTAGCTTTTGTTTCTTTCTTGTTTGCTTGTGTATTTACGATTCATAGACAAGTGATGTCTTGTCTTTTTAATTGTTTTATGAGAACTGATTGGAGAGGGATATTGCTTTAGTTTAGCAATCCTTCTCCTTGGAATGTATGTAAAAATGATGTGATTGTGTTGTTTAACTCTTTGGCATATTTATCACAATTTTCAACATTTTTCTGCCAAACTTACTTATAACATGTTTAATTTTTTTTTACCATCATGCCGTACCATACTTGGAAAATATAATTTGAAAGTCAAACTACAAATTCTGCTTTTTCCGACTGGGTTTTGAGGCAATCTTCCTCATAGGCAGAACACAATTTTTATCTAATAAAACGTTTGAACCTCTACCGATCATCTCGCATATCTGTCTTCAGAAAGAATTCTTTTTACATGACTGTTTGTTCTCTCTTTTTTTTTTTTGCAATGCAACCAGCAGTAAATTGTTCATTACTGTGATGTTCTACTTTTCCTTCCTTTGACTTCAGAATCACGGCGTGCGGTGACAACAAACAGTCGTTTATCGTGATCCCGTCCACCTGTCCTGTCACCGGCATTCATGGCCGCGCCAGCATTACGGTCCTCATGGGGTCTGTCACTATACTGGGGTACCCTCTGCAGCCCGGCCGGCCGTACCCCGTCTTCTCTCCCGTCACCGGGGGCCTCTTGTCTCTGTTTGCCAGCGGCGACAAGCTGAAGGCTCAGGATGTGAAGGAGGAGATCACCAAGCAAGGATTTTCTGACCAAGAGCAGAGTGTAAGTTTTAATATCTTTCCATAGAGACTGTACAGGTTATTGGAGGGTGCCTGTTGTAGGCCCCACTTCTTGATTAATTTGGTACATTAGCAGATCTTACTTCTTTACTACTTTTTCTTCTTTCACACTATTATTTCAGTCTATATTGCTACTAAATGACCCTTGTTTTTGTCAATGTGTTACTCTTTAGTAAGACTGAAATGAACAGAATCCATAGACACAGTGGTGTAGTAGTGGTTATTTTTTAATTTTAAACATTTTAGGGGGTTCAACTAGTTTTTCTCTCTTTCTGTTCTTTCTCTTTCTGCGACAACACCATCATCTTCATCCAGTGACATATCTGCAATAGACATCGGTGATCATGGTTCTCCATTCATTCCCCTCACATGGGTGTTCTTAAAAAAGCTACATTTCCCTGATCTTTCCCCGTTACCCATTTGTTTAGGTTCCCTAAGTACGTTGCTCTGGGCCTACCCCTGCCTCGTTTGCCTTCAATTTTGCCAGTGAGAGCTAGACAACTCCATAAGTGGCTGAATTTTTCTTGCTCTACTTAGAACCAAGTTGGGTTTACTTATATTGTAACAAGAACAGAAATGTTATTAATATTAGTGTATTATTTCTTTAGTCACAGTTGATTTGGAGCTGCTCATTTTTCCTTGTGACAACTACAAATTGTTTGAGTTTCTCTTTGTCCAGTTGGTGGTTGATGGGTGCTCTGGTGTGGTTTGCTCCTTCTTTCCTATCAAACATCTATCGTCTTTATCTCCCCTCCTTTTTTGTGTTTGTTACTCCCTTGTAATACCTTTAATCTTGGCCACTTTAATGACCTTATTGTGTTGCAAGTGCCGTAAAACTCTTACTAAAACTAACTCTTTGTCCAGTTGGACTCCATCGGGAGCAACACAATAGCCGTCCTGCTGGTGAAGAAGCTGGACTCGGTGCTCTGCGACTACGTCACGACCTTCATCCCCTACACGCAGCTGTTCAACCCCGTGCCGCAGCGGGAGGAGTACCAGTCGATGCCGCGGGGCGTCACGCTCCCCAAGGTCGGCCTGAAGGTGGCGCCGCACGGCGAGTTTGTGTCCAGCTGTCTCAACATGTCCTCGGAGCACCAGGACGTGCTGGACCGGTGGAGGAAGCTGGTCTCTCAGCAGGAAGGTGTGTCAATGTGTCAGCGTGTCCCTGTGTCACTGTGTTCTTTGTTGGCTTTTGTTATCCTTGACTTAATATTCTCGAAAATATGAAGGGGATTTGTTAGCTCTGTTGGTATCATGCTTAGTTATTGTTCAAACGATCACGGATTGACATGACAGTTATTGTATCAACGATCTGTGGTAACTACCCCCCGGGGTGGCACTACTCACTGAAGTGTCATTAGGCCTTTCCCAAAGGGAGGACATTAATATGTTCTTATGCACAGTAGAAGTGTAAATTGTAAATGGGCTGATTCATCAATGCCATGCCCATACTGTTCCTGGTCTGCAACAGGGAACTGCTGCCTTTTCTTTCCTAATCCTTACTATCGTCATTTTCCTCTACTTCTTGTGTATGTTTTTCACACCCTTGTGACCTGCTATTTCCGGGGTGCCTTGATAGTCGAAGCAGATCTTGTGCTGTTGAAGCTTGAGAGGTGAGCAGAATAAGCCCGATTCCCTGTAAGGACTTCTGTGTTGACATCCCCCCCTTGGCGCTCATATGACCTTATGTAGTTGCGAGCGCAGTAAAGCCTCTACTAAAACTGACGCCTTTTTTTGTGTCGTTTTTCTTTTCTTTCCTTTTTCTCCAGCCACTAAGTGAACATTATTGTATCCTTGCGCTTCTCTTTTTTTTTCACCGCTATAGATAAAAGTAGTAACGCAGTGTATTTCTTTCTGCTTGTTCAGGTGACCAGCCACCGGGGGTTGTTTGCTGTGGTGCCAAGAATTCGGGGAAGTCAACTTTCACACGGATGCTCATCAACGCCTCTTTGCAAAGGTTTGACAATGACAATGGCAATCTTTATTTATCTCGCAGGGAGAAATTTGTCTTGGTCGTTTACAATGGCAGTAGATGTTAAAAAGCTTAGGTGCTCTCAGGCATACACACAACAAGACAGGACATTAGTAAATACATGTCTCACGTTCTGAAACACCCTTTCCCTCCCC